CAGCACTGTGCCACTGGAAAAATGCAGCGTTTTACACTCAGGGGACCCCTCTCTGGGCCATCAAGTTGTGGAAAGTGGTAACGACAGATTCTTAACAGGATGGGGGGCCACCCATGAGGGCAGAACAGTGAAGGGTGTGTGGCCGAGCACACTCCACTCAGCCCACATAAATTATTTGTAGCTCCTTACTGTTTGGAAGGCTCTGAAATATTTTCTGCCCCGCCTGCAAGGGCATCACGTGCTGGTGCGTTGCAACAACACCACAGCCGTGGCACATATCAGGCATCAAGGTTTGATGCGTTCCTTAAAACTTCATGCTCTAGCTCACACGCTGTTAGTATGGAGCAGGCAGCATTTTCTGTCGTTACGGGTGACCCATGTCCCGGGCATTCTGAACAGGGGTGCAGACCTTTTGTCGAGGGGGAACTCACTCATTTTCCTATGTTCTTCTCGCTATGGGACAAGGATGCCCCCCTCGGCGTGGACGCTCTGGCCCACCCATGACACAATGTGCTGCTCTATGCTTTTTCTCCACTCTGTCTTTTGATTGCACCCAGATGACCTAATCTCAGAGATATCAGAGATAACCCCTCTACTGAATGCCCAGCCGTGGCCCCTCTCATTATGCACGGACCTCCTGTCCCAAGCGAACGGGGAAATATACCATCCTCACCCAGAAAGGGTGGCCCTCTGGGCCTGGCCCGTGAAAGGGCAAATTTAAACATATTGGGTCTCTCCCCGGGTGTCGTTGCCACTATTCAGGATGCTAGAGCCTCATCTACACGCTCCCTTTATGATTGCAAGTGCTGTGTGTTTGAGTGTGAGGGGCGCCAGCTGATATCATATTAGTGCTTGGTCGCTGGCATTTTGGGTTTTTTGCAAGACCTTATTGATGGTGGGAAATCCTTCTCCACCATTAAGGCTACGTCAAGCGTGACCTTTTCAACGTAATTACGTATTACGTGAAGTCATGGACACTCATCGCAGAGCAGTGCAAGGCACGTATTTTTGTATATAAAGCATATACTTTTTTAGAAAATGACTGATCGTTTCGCTAGATAAGACCCTTATTCCTCATCTGGTATCATGTAGAGCCCTTTGAAGTTGCACTCAAACTGTAATTTTGACCTTCAGCCGTTTGGTAGCCATTGAAGTCCACTATAAGGAGAATAATCCTGGAATGTTTTCATCAAAAACCTTAACTTCTTTTCGACTGAAGAAAGAAAAACATAAACATCTTGGATGACATGGGGGTGAGTAAATTATCAGGAAATTTTAATTTGAATGTGAACTAATCCTTTAAGCTTCTGTCTTTCAAGACAGCTCTGCTCCTGGCTTTGGCATCAGTCAGTGATTTGCACGCACTCTCTCGTGCAGGAGGAACAGAGGCTAAATGCTTTGTCCTGTTCATGCTCTGTGGGTCTATATTGACAGGACCAGCACTTTCAGGAGTAGTGATCAACTCTTCATTACTTGGGCCCCCACCCGAATACGGGGAATCCCATTTCTAAGCAACGCCTCTCTCGTTGGCTTGTGGAAGCCATTTCTTTGGCATATGAATTTAAGGGAATTTCCAGGGGGCCTCAGAGCACATTCCACTAGGGGCATGGCGGCCTCCTGGGCTCTATTTAAAGGGGTTTCCTTGCAGGACATTTGTGCCACTGCAAGCTGGGCCTCACCACATTCATTTGTCAGATACTACCGGCTTGATGTTACCCAGACCACAGTAGCTCATTCTGTTTTAGGTGTGGGTTCTTCGTAGCTTTGTGCCCTTAGACCTTCTACACCTTTTAGCCTGGGTTGTCAAGCTTGGTTTATTCATGTCATTAAGCAGGCCATCTGTAACCTCCCCTAACACTAATTCTATATAATCATTTTATCCTCCCGAATCTCGCCCTCGCCCATCAAGTCTTGTCTCACAGTTAGAGAATTGAAATATCCTTCAAGATGGCTGACTTTGATTGGTTTCTGGGTCATGGACTGAAGGATGGAGGAGCGAGGAAACAAGGAAGCGTTAATTTGAGTTTTGAGAAGCACCCTGTGTTTTAGTGGTGGGGATTTTACAGTGACTTTTTGTGAAGGTTACATTGTTACGCCAGTTGGTGGCGACAAATGACTGTGTTTATGGCGGAGTCATTTATTTTGCTACATTCGCTCAAATGATTATTTTAAAAACAGGAATGAATTACTACAGTTTGTTGCAGTTTTGTTTGAAACTAGTATCTTTGGTCGTCGAAACAAATACAAACAAGGCAACTGACAATAATTTGTCTCAAATTTAAGTTACTTAATATTAACTTCTTGTTTTATTGTTGCACACTTGCAATCACAATGTTGGTCTGAATGTAGACGGCTGTGATTACCTGAAACTCCTTAATTTTGAAACCCCTTAAAAACACTGAAGTATGAGCAATAGAATCACTGATTCTGATCTTAGTAAACACTGCTTATAATTTGTTGACTGTCCTGGTTGACCAGAAAAACACAGAGGAGGAGAAAGCAGCTCATGTCGAGCTCTTCACTGATCTCATCCGCTCCATTGAGAGACGTCAGACTGAACTGCTGGAGATGATGGAGGAGCAGCAGAAAGATGCAGAGAAACAGGAGGAAGAGCTGATTGAAGATCTGGAGCAGGAGATCGCTGAGCTAAAGATGAGAAACACTGAGCTGGAGCAGCTCTCATACACTGAAGATAACCTCCACCTCCTACAGGTCAGTCAACATGATCTCTCTGATCAATGATAATGCAGGATTTGACACCAGAACACTCCCCATGCTGAAGGATTTCTCCGCTCTCTTGCTGTAGGTTTACTCATCCCTGTGCAGCCCTAGAAACACCAGGAACTGGCCTGAGATCAGTATGAAGACTCATGAGAGTCTGGAGACTCTGAGGAGAGCTCTGACTCAACTGAAGGACACTATAGATGAGAAGCTCACACTAACTGGTAGATCAATTCATACATTAATCAGATAGAAACATGATGATGTACTCAATTCTTTAAATATAACATTAAGATCTGATGATATTTTATTGTCATTAGTGTCTACAGAGCTGAAGTGGATGCAGCAGTATGCAGGTACAGTGTGCTGTCTGCACTACACTAGTTTACATTCATACACTCACAGCTTCATTACTGCACTACAAACTGATTACACTCTAGATTAAATACAAAAAACATCAGCATCACAAAATATCTGTATTGTGAAGTTGTGATTGATATTCTGCTTTCTCAGTGGATGTGACTCTGGATGCTGATACAGCTCATCCTGATCTCATCCTGTCTGATGATGGAAAACATGTGAGACATGGCGACATTGAGCAGAAACTCCCAGACAAACCTGAGAGTTTTGATAAATGTGTCTGTGTACTGGGAAAGGAGGAATTCTCCTCAGGGAAATTTTATTTTGAGGTGCAGGTGAAGGGAAAGACTAAATGGGATTTAGGAGTGGCCAGAGAATCCATTAACAGGAAGGGAAAGATCACAGCAAGTCCCAGTAATGGATACTGGATTGTGCGGCTGAGGAACGGGAATGAATATAAGGCTCTCTCTAGTCCTCTTGTCTCTCTGTCTCTGAGAGTGAAGCCGCAGCAGGTCGGTGTGTTTGTGGATTATGAGGAGGGTCTGGTCTCTTTTTATGATGTGGAGTCCAGCTCTCATATCTACTCTTTCACTGGTCAGTCTTTCACTGAAAAACTCTATCCATATTTTAGCCCATGCAAAAATGATGGAGGTAAAAACTCCAGCCCACTGATCCTCACACCTGTTAATTATAATAAATGAATTTACACTCCTAATATGAAATGCAAGATTAAAATAATGATTTGATGATATTTTTTTATTATTTGTTTTTCAATTTCTGAAATCTATGCTATAATTAGATATCTGTAACGTAAATATGTGATGCTTGTTCAATAAATCATTTATGTTTAATTCTTCATAAATACTCATGCCTTTTTTCCCTTTCATCTCCATCTGATAAAGTGAAATTGCCTGTAAAATATTATCAAAAAACAAAACTATGGTAACCTTAATAAACTGTTGTATCAAGGTAGTGGCTCCCCTACAGAATGTTCTGTGATATTACTGTGGTACATCAGCTGGTAATATCTTGATATACTGTATATCATAGATCTGCATGATTACTATATTCATATACCACGGTATGCACATGGTACTTTACGGTACCTAAAAAATACCATGATATTATGATCATGGTAGTGTCCAAAAAAACATGATATTACCATGGTATCATGATAATGATAAATTAATCTTAATTAATGCAAGCCTTTACTCTCTCATTAACCCATCACATGAGATGCTTTTATACTAATGCCTTAAATATCTAACCAGTAGCACTCGCAGCTGATTGTGTCTGTCCATTTGGGACTATTTAACATAGAGGGGTTAATTTCATTAATTTCCATATATATTGAACCTAGAATTAACATGTTCAATAATCAGTGATGACTGTAAAGTTACTCATCATTAAGTCATCAAATGATGACTTACAGTAGTTTAATTCAACAGCTGAAAATTTTAAACATTGATCAGTACAGATACCGGTGACTGACCAAATTTATTCCAAAAACACTTTTATTAATCTCAAAAACAAATTTGTACTGTTCTTACGAATTTTAGTCTTCAGAGTGTCTTCGGCGTTCATTTTCATTTCATTACATTTACTATATTATATTATAAATACATTAACAACTCAGCATTTATGAAACGTTTTCCTGTGTATTTACAGTATTGAAGGCATGTTGTTCAGCATTCTGTTGCCAATTTAGTAATTTTGTTGCTAGATTTACGAACAAACTCTTCACAAATGTTGCCAAACAATCAAGCTTTTGCTGAAATCTCTTCTTCATGAGCTGAGAGACACATCAGTCCCAATACAAACAGACACACATGAACCAACAGACCGAATACAGGGCTGAATGTAAATGTGTGAATACAGGAGGAGCTCTGACATCACTGTAGTTCAGTGAGAGACTCCGAGAAAGTGAAACTAACTTGATCAGAAACAATATGGACTCCTGAAACGATCAAACTCTTCAAACAGCAGAATACTGAATCGTTCAAAGACGCTTGTGGACACACCTGATACTCACAGGTAAGTGATAGAAATATAAGAGAGATTGTCTTGAACAGGTTTCTAATGGATCTGGTCTGGTTTAGTAGGGTTTATGTCAGACTGAAATAAGCTGAACAGAAGTAGGTTTAAGTGTGTCAAATACTCAGCTGCTTTAGTTGATTACTGCACTAAAATTATATCAGAATTGTATTAAATGTATGTAATTTGATTGGTTGTAAAGCAAAGTTAGTTTTTTGTGTCATTCTGTGGCACGCCATAACGACTAAAGGAGAAGTACAAAGACACTTGCTCTTTGTACTCTCTTTAATCTAAACAGCAGGTCCTAGATCAGATTGTTCAGTGAGTTTATGAGTCACTCACTGGGCCTCACTTACGAAACGAACGTACGACAGAAAATTGGGCGTACGGCCGTTTCATCGCAAAACGTGGAATTTATCAATATGGACGTGAGCGGTGGATACGATCAAATCTCACGTCTGGTCTCAGCTCGTGTACGCAAGTTTTTGAGTTACCTGAACTTGCGCAGAGCATAGTAAATACGGTGGAGAATTGTAGATTGACAGCATTTGTTCATTTTTATATTCCTGACCTCATTAGTCGATCGTTAAACAGTAAGATTAGAATGTCTTTTCTGTTGTTGTTTTGTACAGGGCTTTAGCTTTATATGCGCGAATAGCAGCCCGGGGTGTTTTTAGGGGCGTGATATTCAAATGACGATTGTTTTCTGCCGCCACATTTATCAACATACGATCATTCGTACGATGAGATTGGCGGCATACGAATGTTTCATAAATCACACGTGAACTCTGTCGTAAATTGATTTGTGCGCACAGATCTGCGCTCGTTTCTACGTTAGACTGATAAATGAGGCCCACTGTGTTTCAAAAGAATGATTGTGTTTCCTTCACTATCACCTCTTACATGAGATTTAAACACTTTACACTTTAATGTAAATATTGATTTAATTGTCATGATCCAGTTTGTTTCAAGTCTGAAAAAGAGAAAATAACTTATACTGTAAAATACAGTGTTATCTTTTAAGGCTTGAAGAGATAAAAAAAAATGGCAGAATCTTCACAAACATAAAAACAAATCAAGAAAAACCAGGAGACTGAGTTTTGACCATGAACCTCCATGTAAGTAAAAAATCCAGAAAAACACTGTTTATGAATGAACTTGACTTTTCTCAAATAATATTTAATAATTACTGCAGATAATAAAATAATTTCAGCTTGAATCAATAATTATGGTTCATGTATTTATTTATTTGGTAAGTGGTTGTGTATTGAGCTTCACATTTGCGTTCTGATCAACTTTTCTGGGTTGATTTTGCAATAATGACAAGCTGACTGTACATGATCTCATACATATTCGAGTTTCACCAAAGTCGCCACTCTTTGTCTCTAGACACTCTTTACATTCAATCAGCTTCATGAGGTGCATCATGGGATTCTTTATAAACATTATTGGAATTCACACTAATCCTAAATAATGTCTCTTTCCAGTCATGTCATCCTCCATTAGTTCACTGACTGAGGAGCTTCAGTGCTCTATATGTCTGGACGTGTTCACTGATCCAGTCAGCACTCCATGTGGACACAACTTCTGCAAGACCTGTCTGAATAAGTGCTGGGACAACAGCCAGACCTGCAGCTGTCCATACTGTAAAGAAACTTTCAAGCAAAGACCTGATCTCAAGATTAATACCACACTCAGAGAGCTCGTAGGTGACTATAAAAAGAAAAGTCCTGAGAAAAAGCCTGAAGTTCTGTGTGACATCTGTGAGGAAAGAAAGCTGAAAGCCCTGAAGTCGTGTCTGGTGTGTCAGAGCTCTTACTGTGAAACTCACCTGGAGCCTCATTTGAGAGTGACACTTTTGAAGAAACACAAACTGATGGATCCTGTGAGTAATCTGGAGGACTATATATGCCAGAAACATGATAGTCCTCTGGAGCTGTTCTGTAGAGATGATCAGACATGTGTGTGTATGATCTGCTCTGTGAAAGACCACAAGAACCACAACACTGTTCCTATAAAAGAGGAGAGCGAAGATAAGGTAGAAGTTACTAACAAAACTGCTTTTGCATTTTTAAAACATATTGTAAATTTCCTCAGAAGACAGTAAATCTGTTATGATAAATGTGTCTGTGTTGTTCTCTCTATAGACTGAGCTGATGAAGACACAGAAAGACATGCAGCAGATGATCCAGGACAGAATCAAGAAGATTCAAGACATCAAACACTCAGCAGAAGTCAGAAAAGTGAGTTTATTAAATTGAAGTTAAATATATGTTATACGTCATTTAGTTGTGTCTCTCCAAGAGTCCTGATATACAGTCCAGCAGCACTGGGACTTTTCACTGTTTGTGTCACTCTGCTTGTCTGTGCTTTAGAGCAAATTAGCTCAAAAGGGAAATATGTATAATTAATTATAATGGCCTTCAGAATTAGGCTTTCAGAATTAACTGTAGCAGAATTAATGTTATGATTATTTAGTCTTTTTCGTCCACCGAGCAGACTGTATAGTCATTTATCAACTCTGGTTATCTACCTGGCCAAGAAAGAACAGCTTTCGTACTGTATACAGTGCTAGCAATAACTTAGCATGTAGCAATATCAACGTTTTAGTAACTCTGAACTGTGAGTAGCAAAAACAATAATAAACGATACTATGAGTAACATAAAACTATAAGCAAAACACATGCATACACAATGAAAAGAAGTAAGGAAAGAAAGAAGATCAAGACCGGCAGTATTTAAAATCAGTGAGCCAGAACCTAATGAGAACCATCAGATCAAAATCAAACAATATCACCTTAATAAAAGGGTCAAAACTTAGAAATGCATCTAAGTATTTGACAAATGGTTACTTGCACTGGCTTTGTTGCTGAACAAGTGTCCGGAAGCGTGTAGAGAATGGAGATTCTTGATGAGTTAGTTAGAAGTAAGCTGGAAGCTTTTGTCAGATTCTTACAAAGATCTGATGGTCCACGGGGAATTGACAAAGTTAGTTGAAGATTAAACTGCTGGAAGGTCAGACTCAAGAGAGATGAGTCTTGAAGAGCGTGTGTCTCAAAGGGATTGAGCCCTGATGGGTTTGGGTAGAGGTCTTTTAACATCCCTCCCTACCTACCCACCCATTCCTGGTGGACTGACCAATGCTGAGGTTTACATTTTCAGCGGGAAAAGTTTTTTAAATTTTTTTCCTTGATACCTTCTTTGCATGTTTAAGGGGGTCTGGTGGATTTTTGCAGTATTAATCCAGAGTATAGTAAAAAGAGTAAGATGCAAGTTATGGTAACATACTATACACCATTATATAATGCAGGGGTCTCCAAACTCTGTCCTGGAGGGCCGGTGTCCTGCAGAGTCCAGCTAGTTAAGGTCTTACTAGGCATACTATAAACTTTCAGGCAGGTATGTTGAGGCAAGTTGGAGTTAAACTTTGAAGGACACTGACCCTTCAGAACTAAGTTTGGAGACCCCTGATAGAGGGGATCACAAGAAGATGATTTTAAGTCATGCCAGGATTGGAGAACATTAAGGAAAGGATACAAGCATTTAAGACTTCACTAGCGCAACTACAAAGTTATAACTAAGCTAGTTTAACATAGGGGCATGCATACAACACAGAAATATACTATATATAGTGGAGATCAAAATTAGAGAACAATTTATGAACACTAGTTGTGGCTATACCAGCCTTTTTGGGGGACTTGAATGAGTTAGTGACATTGTAAAGATTATCTCTAGGTTACGTATGTAACCCTGGTTCCCCGAGGGAATGAGACGCTGCGTCGAAAACGCTTTAGGAACGCCCCTGTGTGCCCACGCTCTGAATCACATGTGAAATCAGTCCAATGGAATGGCGAAACGTCACGGGTGGGGTGACGTAGAGACCAGAGACAACCAATCGTCGATGTAGTTGAGTATGCAGATGCCCTGGATTCGCAGAGGAGCCAGAGCAGCATCCACACACTTGGTGAAAGTGCGGGGCGAGAGAGCACACCTCTTAGGTCTGGGAGAAAGTGTTTCAGTGCACGAAACATGGCCAGCATCTCCAGGCAAATTCTGTGCCACATGAGATGGTGGCCTCCCCACTGACCCTGGGCCGAGCAGCCACTCGTGACTGCTCCCCAGCCCGTGAGGGAAGCATCTGTCGTTAGCGTTACGCGATGACAAGGAGCCCCCATCACAGGGCCTTGTGACAGGAGCCAAGGTTTCTTCTACATGTCTAAGGCCCAAAAGCATCGCCACGTGACCTTGATCATGCAAAGTGGGTTGCCCCTCAGGGAAAAACCCTTTGGTCCTGAGCCACCACTGCAGGGGTCTCATGTACAGCAGGCCAAAAAGTATCACGTTGGATGCAGCTGTCATCAGACCCAACAGTTTCTGGATCTGTTTGACTGTGAGTGACTGGCCTTCTCTCACTCTCTTGACTGCTGTGAGGATCGGCTCGATCCGAGCAGGAGACAGACGTGCCTGCATCGTGGTC